AAGATTATATCACATTTTGGTGGCCACGAGAGTTTGAGGGTCTACGCCATCTGACGGCATACCTGGAGGATAAGGTGGAAGCACTAATGATGAGTGCCCCACAATTGACATGCATAGCTGAGAGTTCTCTCTCAAACGTCAAGCTAGTGACGTTAAAGAAGCGCTTCTTGGGAGGCAACCCATGTTTTTCATAACATTGTTTGTTTGTTTTGTGTGTTTGCAGGGTGTGCTTCAATGTTGATGAAATAAGAGTTTGGCTTAGGCCTTACGGGAGGACACGAGTGATGCTTAGTTTTCTTCCTTAACATTTTATTGTGTTTGTTTGTTTATTCAGGTTGGACATTGTGCCACTCTTTTGACTTAATTGCTCTTACAAACTGACTATGAATGATGTAATGATTTTTATTCCTGTTTCATTATTCCTCTTCACAAAATCTTTTCAAAACTCAAGTGTGAGGAAAGAACCAAAAAAAAAAAATGTGCCTTTATTTCCCAATTTTGTGCCTCAAAAGAAGACCTCGAGGGCGAGGTCCAGCTCAAGTGTGAGGAGGTTGCGTTTTACACTCAAAAGTCAAAACCTTGTTTTAGAACAATCTTTTTACTATTTTTGATATGAAACATTAATTTCTCAATTTGTTATCAAATCATAAAATACTTTAGATAATCACCCTTATTATAAGAATTTACTTTTATTATTATTTTTGAAAACTTAAAATTGTTATGGGTTTTTGGTTGCGAATGTAAAGGTCCGAATTTGTTTTAATTGGACATTCATTTTATTCATTAAAAAAAAACATGTTACTACTAATAAACCTCTTCAAAACTCATTGTTATAGGACAATTCCATCTCCGAAAAGGGGCTCTGTTTCATTCGTTAATCACAGTCTGTGAGAATGAAATATGCATTTACCATGGGATAACACCGCCAACAAGAGTGAAAAAGAGCAAAAAAACAAAAAAAAAATGGTGAACAAGATGAATGTCCAAATTAAAATAATGAAAACCTTGGGATAAGGAATTGATTGGTGGTTTAACATAATAAATAGTTTTTCTTAAGTAATACTAATTTTAAACTCTTGTATTTTGGGTGATTTTTCTAAAATGTTTAAAAATTGAGAATAAAAGATGAGGTTTTTGTTTCTACTTCTTTAAAATAGCGACTAGATTGTAATACAGTTAGGCTTTACCTTTTGAGTGTGTTTACAACTAATTCGTCGCTTGAGGACAAGCAACGCTTAAGTGTGAGGAGATTGATAAGTCCATTTTTGTACTTATTTTTCTTATCAAATTTATGCGATTTTTGATTGAAAATAGAAAGAAAAGGCACATTTTTTATATTTTGGTTCGAGTTTCATGAAATCAGGTAAAAATCACATCCATAATATGTTTAGCGGGATTTCGGGTCAATTGAGCACAAAATGAGCCAATTTGGACAACAAATGATATCATACCGAAAGAAGGAAACATTATTTCAAAGTGGTCCAGAAGACAATATTGAAGAGCACAAAACAAGGAACAAGCCGGACAAAGAATCTCATAGGCGCCCAAACAGGCGGCCAAAATGAAGGCCTTCGCGGCCGCCTACGGTATTTTTGGAAAGTCAAACTTTGACTTTGACCGGATTCGGAAAAGACCGTAGGCCGCCGACACTGGACGGAAGGCGGCCGCCTACGGTGACCGCCTGCGGCAGAAGACGACGAAGCAACCGCCGGCCGGTGGGATTTGACGGCAGGCGGCCAGACAGGAACGGCAGGCGGCCGCCTGCTGGACCGCCTGCGGCGGCCGGGATCCGCCGGGATCCGCCGCGATCCGATTTGACCATGAAAAGACGGCAGGCGGCCAATGTGTGACGGAAGGCGGCCGCCCTCTGTGGCCGCCTACGGCTGACGGGACCGGCCACGATCCGCTGCCGGCGATTAGACGGAAGGCGGCCGGAGAGAGGCGGAAGGCGGCCGCCTGGATGGCCGCCTACGGAGAAAAATTTCCTATAAATTGCCCGATTCTTGCTGAACTCAAACACACCAATTTCAAGCCCAAATCAGATCAAAAAGGGCGTCTTCTTCCTCCTCAAGCTCGGATTTCCACCATTGTTGCACCTTCAACTTCAATCTTTCATATCTTTCTCATTTTAGCTCCAAATTGTGAGTTCTTTATATGTATTTTCATCCTTTAAATGTGTAGAATCTGAATCTGTACTTTGTTTGTTCTATCTGTGCTTCAAAAATTCCCAGAAAATTATTACATTATTTCGCATTTTCTTCTTAATTTTGAATAAAATAGTTATTGTTGTTGAATTCGTTCCAATTAATTATATAGTTGTTTACTAGCCTCAAGGTAGTTATTTATCTGAAGAAATTAATTTTTCACGAAGCAGAGGTAATTTTTAATTAATTCCGGCATTTAGTTGTTATTATTGCATAAATTAAATTAAATACTCAAAAAGGTAAAAAAAATTAGTTTCTGTCCTAATTCCAGTTTAATTCACATTAATATCACTCCCAGTAGTCAATATAAAATTTATAACGAATTTAGAATAATTTCAGTTGCTTTTTGCATTTTCTAGTTAAAATTGGGAAAATTATCAATTAGTTGTTAAAATTGGATTTTAGGTTCAAAAATTCGTGAAAAATTCCAGAAAGTTATACTTTAGTTTCTACAAGTTTATTGTTCCATAATATAATTTTTGCTATCATCCATGTTTAATTCCTTGTTAATGTTGAATATATTCATTATATTGTTAATTGTTAAAATGATCTTTATTAGCTAAATTTGTTTTGGGCATGAATTGACTAAAGGAATATGGATTGACTTGTTGACCAAAAAAATAGGGATTAAAATTAATAATTTGGACTAGTTGTTTGAAATGATGAAATAGTAATTAATAATTGTTAGCCATATTCATTAATTAAATTCTTGGAAAATTATCTCTAACTTGTCTATGAGATTAGAAAATAATTTAAGCCAACCATATTCGAGCACATTAATAAGGCCTAGAAATAGGATAATTTAATGAAAGGGATTTGCATCTTGTCTATGAGAGATAAATTCAATTGCTTAAATAATGAGTTTAACTAGTTAATAAATTTGGCTATTTTTATTAATTAAAATATTGGAGAATTATTTCTACCTTGTCTATGAGGTTAGAATTTAATTCAAGCCAACCATTTTTAACACATTAATGACACCTAGAAATAGGATAAATTAATGAAAATAGTTTCTATTCTTGTCTATGAGGAAAGAAATTATTAGTCCAATTTTAGTTTTAATTTCCCTAATTACTAGGTCCAAGAATATATCCATTTTTAATTACTCAATTCATTGCCCTTATTTGCATCAATCCATTTAAGTTTAATATTATATTTTTTTCCTTTAGTTTATTTTTTAGCCATCATTAGTATTTGCACAATTTAATTTACTTTCTTTTCCAAAAAGTAGTTTAGAAAATCAATCAAAAGTTTTAATTTGGAAAGCTTCCAATAATTTGCGATAACCTGTGACTGAACTTAAAATCAAGAAGCTCCTCCGCCATTCCTCGAGAGACACGATACTCGGGGAAAACCGAAAGGTTAGACTCCGTTTTACTACAACGCCGCAAAAGCGGTTATCATATATACTAATATAACTAATATTATACGAATATATATACTAATATTATATATGTACTAATATAACTAATATATATTACTAATATATATATATATATACTAATATAACTAATATATATATATATATATACTAACATAACTAATATATATATATAATATACTAATAAAACTAATATATATTACGAATATATATATATATTATATATACTAATATTATACTAATACTATACGAATATATATAAATGCTTTAATTACATAGTTATATATACACTAAATATTATACGAATATATACTAATATACTCTAAAATATTAATATAGTTATATATATTTCAAAAATATATTAGTATATACTTTATGAATTAAAATCAAATAATAGAGTAGTTTAGAAATTACCAAATCGTCTAGGTTTGACCCACTCCTCGGGGTTGCGTTCGCTTTCCGCACACAACCTTTCCATTGAGAACATTGATTATTGATGATCTTGAAACGAGACTCAATTGCATCTCGAGTTCGAGGAATTTGACTTTGTGCCGAAAATATCTCGTGAATGCGGCCCCAGAAAGTCTCCCCCGGTTGATTTATTCCAATGACACCATCTTCAGATATGGTGACCCAGGCATTACATAGAACAACATCCTCTTTAGCATTCCAATTAACACCCCTTTTTGAGGAAGACATAACAAAATTGTAGTGAAAAAATATGATGAAGAATGAGAGAGATGGAAGATGTGTGATTAAAATAAGAAGGAATGATGTGTTTATATAGGATTTTCGAGCAAAATATCAATTAAAAATAATAGAAAAATAAAATAAATTATTTCAACCGTTGGATTTAAATTTCAGCCGTTGGATCATTTTTTTTCCCGTTCAAACAGTGTCAAGTTCATCACAACCATTGGATCTACCAAATATTTTTTTATACAAACAATTAAGCCGTTGGTAGTGCATGGTGCCTCATGCTGACATCAACATGATGTCAGCGAGGCAAATAATTCCCCCTGGCAAGCCTTCTGCTCCCGTCTGCGCACAACAGGTATGCCCCCACTCCCCTTTTTCTTTTCTTTTCCATTTAATTTTTGGCTGTCTAAAATTCCTCCAAACTTAACCCCTTCCCTCCCCAAACCCATTTTTAATACCCTCCACACTCAACCAATGTAAGAAATTAGGAGTCTAAAAATGCCATTTTGACATTTTAGACTCCTAATATCTCACCACTCCATTTGGTCTAATTGAGTGATAATTGAGTTTAGAGATCCCATTGACTTTTGACTAATAACAGGGGACTTATGTGAAACTTTTCCCAATACTTGGTTTTAGAATATTGCATGTTTTAAGTGTGACGTACATGAGGTGATATACCCTGTATACCATTTTTTTCGGTATTTGCATTCCCACTGATTCCTGTTCAGATTAAAAACCCGCTAGTTCCAGCTAAACGGAAAACAGAGTATACGGGGCTATATAGATGTATGAACGTTTCTAGCTTCTAGTCAACTCTCAGTCTCTAGTCTCTCAGAAGAGAAATAATGTCTCCTCCCTCTACCGGCTTCTCCGCGTTTCTCCTCTCCTTCCTTCTCTTCTTGTTCTTATTCATGTCGATCGAATTAAACGACGCAGCTAATGATGATGCTACTCGGAGAATATCACCTAAGTACTGCGACCCTTCCTCAACCAGCAGCCTCTGCAAGAGGAACATGAATATTTCATATCCTTTCTGGAGGGCAGATGATAAAGGCCAAATCTGTGGCTACCCTGGGTTCAGCATCGACTGTTCCAACACCGATCCTGACTATCCCCGAATCGCTATTTCTGGCGGCGTCTTCCTGGTGAAGAGCATCAATTATGGCGCTCGCTCAATCGTACTTGCGGATGCCGATGCCATCACCTCCGGGGGCGACTGTCCCACGCCACGTCAGAACCTCAATTTCAGCGGCGGAACGCTGCCGCCGTTCATTTACAACTACAGCATAGATGTAGCCATCGTTTTCTACGCCAACTGCACCAATCCGCTTGACGGCGGTATCCGCTATCCTTGCTCAATTGACGACGAAGCGTCGTCATACTGGTCTGTCGGGCCGAGCCCTTTGGGTTGGCGCGGAAATTGCGAGGGAGCGCTGCAGACGGCGGTGATGGGAACTTCCGATAGAATTGGGGCGAGGTTGAATGACTCGTCCTCCTGGGCCAAAGCCTTGAATGAAGGGTTCGTGCTGAATTGGGATGCCACGGGGGAGAACTGCACCGAGTGTGAGAGGTCCGGGGGGCGGTGCGGCCTTGAAACCACTTCCGACAACTTCTTCTGCGCTTCTTCTCAAGGTACAACCATCACTTCCAGCCTAGCTTCCAGCCTAGCCGGTTGTGAGGTCTCGTGTTCAAGTCCCACTAGCACCAGTGGAACTATGCTCCCCCAAAAAACCCTTCAAGTGGTAGGGCCAAGCGGTGTACACTAACCCGTAGGGCCAAGCCAAAGTTGAGTTTCTGGGGTAAGGGGCCGTGAAAGCGGTGGAGCTAGTCACTATAAAAAGTTTACCCATACCTTAGTTTTACCGGTGGACGTAGCTCAACTGGTAGCAAGGGAGTGCCACAAGAGTTAGGTCTCGGGTTCGAATCCCGGCAACTGCGATGAGGGGTTACTATGCTGAAAAATGCATAGGGCCTCTGCAAGTACCGGGGACAGAACCCCACTCTCTATCTGTCAGATTGTGATTATAGTCCAATTTACATCCTCCCATCGTGTCGTCCGGTCGGTGGTGGGAGGCCCTCAGGGATGGGGTGTCATCCTTTTTTTTTTCTTCTCAAGGTACGTACGGACCTGATTTATTTATTTAATTTGCTTTTTTTTATGGAAATCGTGGATAACAACATGCATCCATTTATTTTCCCTTATTAGACCGGAATTTGTTGATCTAGTTTGGTTAGATCTGGTTCGTTCTGGTTTGAACTGATCTGGTTTAATCTGTTCTGAGACTGAAAACAATTTAAGTAAAAACATGCCAAATTAGGAAGAGGATTAGAGAGTATCGGAAATTTAGGTTAAGATCGATTCATGAGCTTGAATAAATATATTAGCTAGATTTAAATACTTCCTAGGCTAAATAAGAAAAATGAAAAAATTTCAATCCATATTAAGGCTATTTGCAATATGCAATATTTCACACTATTAGTGTATTATATTATGACCATATTTTATTTATTAATGTAGGATAATTAATTTTTTGAAAAACGTTGTAGAATACATTTCATTACAAAGTCTCAAAATTTGGTTTTTTAATTTCATTTAAGAATAGATAATCAAATATAACGAAGGTCATAGTTGTGTGTTGACAAACGTGAAAATAGGAATGTTACAACTAAAAAAGGATAAATGAAGTATAACTTTGGATTTTGCAAAAAAAAAAGTATAACTTTGGAAAGAAATTGTATATCATATGATACTAATACTAATAGTGGTTTTGAAGAATATGTTTAATAGTAAAAATTGATAGTGTTTGATAAAAAAGTGTTTCTGAAAAACTAAATGTTGTTAACGTTTAGTAAAACAAATGCTTTTTGTATAATAAGAAAACAGAAAAGCACTACTTCTATCTTTTAGCTTTCAAGTGCTTTATTTAGGAAAAAATTGTCATTTGAAAATAGTAATTGCTGCTCTTTTTTATGCAAAAAGGGTGAAAAACATTTTTTTGTAATTTTTTGCAAACTCTTTTTAAGAACATTCAAAATTGAGAGCGGGTAGCAGCTGTGTATCATCATATTCAAAGACAAGACGCACATGTTGTTGGGGTGCACATAATGAGATGCATGGAATTTTCTTTTGGTTCTTTTCAGATACACAGTCAGCTAGCACTGGCAGCGCTACTTCAAGCCTGTCAATTTCGAACCACTTTCATTGACTGACTAATTCAATAGGTCCCTTGATGCCACGCGGAATTATTTAGCTAATGTTTTCCAATGTTAACTGGATCTAAGACTGACCGGACGACCGGTTGAATGATCAGCTCATGGGTCAACCCAGTCAACGCCGTAAAACCCGGTCAACTGTTATATAAAGTTTTATGGTAATAGACATATATTAAAACCCGTTTTCCTATGTTGAGGATCAATTCCGTCACCGAATTCCGGCTCAGGCAGTACGGACGTCGGTTTTCCGGTTGTCTCTTGTGCACACCTAAGTTAAGGGAGCAACACACCTTTCTAGCCTCGCCAACACTCACTCTCACCTCACCAAGAAGGATGGATAGTTTGGCTCACTCAATGGTATTCACTCACCTCATCATGCTCTACTCCTTACTCACACAAAGGGACCAGGAAGAAAGAGATCGGCTAAGCTATCTCTCGTATGCTCCACACATCTCAACAACAAGGGTGCAAGGTTGTACATATAACAAGGAAGACTTTGGCCTTATTAGCAGGGACTCTCACAATTCACCGCACACACAACTCACCACTTGCTCAATAGTGAGTTCTATTCGAATTCTAACGAGGGAGGCAAATACTGATAGGCCAGACAGATAAATAGGGACAATGCAGTGGGCTGCTAGAAAGGATGTTAACCATTATTAATATACAAAAAAAATGTTTGGGCCAACAATATATTAACAATCTCCACCTTTGGCCCAAGGTAGTACACTTAGACAATTCACGGAACCGCAGACTCATCATTGCCGGATAATTACAATTATAATCACAAAGGTAATACAAGTAATAGAGAGACACGAAGTACTCTCGGGGTAAGATCATTAAGCATACTGAGTCCATAAAGGACTTAACTCTACCATATGGCCCTCGAGTTCAAAACGAAAACCATCATGATGCTACTAACAAACACAGGGTATGTTGGTCCCATTTTGATAGGACAATTTTTTTAATCCTATCGCGTGTAATTTCCTGTGTATAATATGATAAGAAACATTTATATAAATAAATGAAACAAATGTAATTCATCTATTAACGCAGAGGTCTACAAGAACAAAGGAAGCATAAGAATCCAAATTTATTTTTATTAAAAAGAAAACTCAAAGTTTCAAGAATGCTCAACGACCTCGGTCTATTTATAATCAAGTGTTATAATACACAATGCAATAAGTAAGAACATTAATTGTTACACAAGCGTTACACTAAAGCAGATAATCAAAGAATGGAGAGATTTTTAACGATGAGATGAGCAAGAGGTTTTGACAAATACATGAGGCCATGAGTGAGAAACTCCCTCCTCTCACTACTTTTCCGGCGAACCGCCCATAAATCATGTATGGGGATTCCCGACCACCACCTCCCGGTCGGAACCATTACCACCACTACCATGAAAACTACCACACACTGTATTGGAGTCCATATCGCAGTAGCAAGAATAATCGCCACAGGGGTGATTATCGCAACTATTCACACATGGGAAACACGAACTGGCAGTACGACTACACTCCTAGGCGCATCCGAGTATCACCCAGGTACTCAGACATTAACTTCGTAAATGAAAGGTACCACCACGATTATGGACTCATGGGAACCGGTGATTGGACTTCGCCAAATCCCAGGAAACAATACCCTGGAATCCTGCCAAGGTATTACGAACCCGGAACAGAGGAACCAATTCTTACTCTAAGCTAAAGGAACGGTACAACAACACTCACCCGGAACAGAGGAACACCTTCGCAGCATTCAACAGTCTTATTGAAGATCCGGAGGAGCCCTGGATCGAGATTAAACACAGAAATCAACGACTCCCCTCTCACACCGGCCAGTGCACAAGGATTCCTACACACTCATACGCAGGTAACCTAAATCGATTCAAGGCTCTAGAAACAGAAATAGACAATTCTCTCTACCCAATTCACGCATATGAACAAGTACACCACTTATCCCCTACTCCCCACTCCTCTCACGCTTTAGACAAAGGAATAAAGAAAAATCAAAGAGGAACAGGGATCCAAAGAGGCTCGTCGCCATTAAGGAATCCAACGTGCCGGAACGGAAAATTAAAAGCCCAAATTGATGAAGAAGGTGGAAATCCCCCGACAAAAAAAGCAATGAGGACAGCTCCGCCAATCGATCTGCCGTCGTAGGCCCTCCAGCTCATCCTAGCGAAAATGGTCGCACATCAGGAGACCGGCCACAAGAGACTCTGCAACTTACATGGGCTGACTTGTTTCGTAATGATAAATACAAAAGTACCTGTGGTCAGGATGTGCTCACTGACTCAGCAACTAGGACCAAATATAAGGATAACACTTTTTTAATTAGGGGCAATTCTTTACCCTCAGGCTCGGTTCAGGCAGAAACAGAGATCTCAACCAACTCAGAAAAATATCAATTCTTTGGGGAAGATGGTTTTGATTCAATCAGAATTGAATCCAAGCTCTTTAAATTTGGAATAAAAAACAAAGATATTGCTATCTTCGAGATAAAAAAATCTATCCTGCACAAGATTAGTTTCAGTCTCAATTTAGCCCCACAAATCATCCGATATATTTATCAGCTCACAGGGAAAGATCAGAATTTCATACAACAAAGAAATTTTGGACCGATCACAGTTTGCTCAGCCTTTAACAAATCAGGCCGATTTTTGAAATTAGCTAAAGAAAATGGAGGTTTCATCATGATTCCATTGGGCTCTCAAAAATCCAGAATATTTGAGTTTCTGGATATCTTTTCAAATATTGTAGGATTTTCTGCCCTAGCACAAGAGGAAACATTCCACATGGAGCACAATTCCATGGCAGACGATGAAGGAAGCCATATCAATTTCTAAACTCATTTTTAATTTCCAAATTTAGGGTGCCTACGCCGAGCAACGTCAGCTTATACCTTCAGAGAGCCATCACTAACTACCATTAATTCAGGCGTACTCAGATGCCTCGGACCGTTATGACCCGTCAGATGACTCATATTTTTCAGACGATTTTCTGGGGCACGCAACAGAAAGCGAACGTCGACCACCAATCTCCGACCAAACCGATATTAGGAACTCAAAGTTCAACAGAGCTATTTGCCGCAAATCCAAGTTTATAACTTCAGATAACTGCTTGCCAACAGATAACCTGAACACCCAACTTAAACTTTACAGGAAAACTCAGCAGAACAAGCGGCGCCATAGCATGAGGACAAGCTATTTCCGTGGGCTTAATTTTTACCGTTTTACTGTACCTTTCTTTTGCTTTTTCCTTTATTTTCTGTATGCCTTTTATTTCGCATTGTACCCTGTTGAGGTTTATTCCTTCAACCCCCGGGTCCAACACGTAAGCCCAAGGATTTCGAATGGAGTGTGTGATTAAACTAGCCCAACAAGCAGATGATATGGATTAGGAAGGCAGTAAGGTAGC